TTGTCTTTTCATATATTTATTTTATAAAATTACAGACAATTTTAGTGTTTCCTTGATGAAGAATAACCAACTGCACTATTTGAAACTATCCACTAATGATACAAAATGAAGAAAAATTACATTAACCACCAAGAGTAAAAAAGAAGAAAATTACAGTCTTCTTTTCTTCAAACTTTTCTCATCAAGGCTGTCTCTCGATTTCCTCTTTGGATCATCATCACTTCTCTTCGCTGAGGACTCACGAGTTTCCCGCCTTAGGGATTTCTGAGGGGTCTCTTCTGCTCGGGCCAGCATTTGTGTATTCAAGAATTCCTGTTGAGAGAGAAAAAAAACATAACGTATGAAAGGCTCTTGAAGTAGCATCTACATGTAATTAATCTAATTATATCCATATAAAATATTCAAATAAAGTGACAAAGATACAGACCTCTATGGTGCTAACTGTATCTTTCATCATCTGGTGAGCCATATGATAAACGTTATGGTCACTGGTGTTGTACATTTTTGCATTCAGGAACATCAGCATCATGTCACGTTGGAATTCAGCCGTATTTCTTATTACTCCACTTTCTATGTTCCTCTTGATTGTTTGAAGATCCATTGGCCTAGGAAATACACAAGTTTTGACAATTCTATATATTATATGTGTAGAAGAAAATTATAAACTATATTTCTAAAGATGCAAAATCAAAAGTTCTATGGAATGCCTGAAAGACCAAAGAAGTTTCTACCATTACTTAAAAAGACACAATAATAATAATAATAATAATAAACTTTTGAGTAAAAATGACCTTAAAGTGGTAAGTAAGAAAGGAAAAGGTGAACCATTTTATAGCTAGTAACATGGAGCAAAGCTTTACTGACAGAAATAAAGTAAAGCCTGCAAACAGTTAATGGAGACACCCAGTGCCTCTGGAAGCATGGGGAGTCAGCTGCTCAAGGGAAAAATCAGAAGCACAGGAAACAAATTTACCCTGCTCTCAATGCTCATGTCAATAGCATAAATGACTTTTTAGGGAATGTGACTAAAAATGAGCCTTAGTGAATGCAGCTACAAAGACATTAGGCATGAAAGGTAGTCCACCATGAATAGAACATTATCCAGGTTAATATAATGATGAAAATGTAAAATCTTTTTCCAATGAAGTTGATATCCCTTATTCTTAACGAAGAGCCATCTAGGTTACCACACTGATGGAAAAGCAAATTCTTCCCAATGAAGATGATGTCCCATACATTTAATGAAGAATCAGTAGTAGTTTCATTATATTTTTTTTATAGGTTTATATTTTGTGTGCCTCTACTATCTCTCACATAAAATAATATAAAAACTCTGCAGTCAACAAACATAGAAACAAAGCTGATAACATAAGCAAGAACTTCCTATGCATTTGCTGAACAGTTCAAAGAGAATGAAGAAAAAAAATATTATTTCCTCCTTACCTGTACACCACTGAGTGATATCCTGGAGCTTGGTCATCAGTAATAGGTCGTAAAAATAAGGATGCAAACTTGTGTGCAGCAATTTCATTCCACAAAATCATGATGGGTTTTTTCCAAGATCTGTATGATCGTTCATGTTCAGGATCATCCCTAAGAAAAAGACAACTGAGTAAGGAGTTTTGATCAGCAAAATGCATGTTATTTTCAACTTGTACTTCTCTATGAGCATTGTTTGTACAGATGTACTTTATAACCAGATCTCGCTATAAAAACATGTGACAACAACAAAATTCTGAGCACTCTCATTATAACAACGAATGACATGGAAACTAACCCATAATGGGTTGAAGCAGGAGAGTTTGGTGCAGATTCAGTTATTAATGGGGATGACGATCCAGCAAAATCTCCTCCTGATACTTTGCGCTTTGTACTTCTGACAAAGATCCTTTCCACTTCACTCACCCAATCCCTGAAAAATATTAAGCAAAAGACAATGATCCAACTGGAAATACCTAAACACTACTCTCTTGCCAAGTTCAAAGCTGTAATGTAAAGGCAGTTTTTGTATTTTTCACCAATAACTCAAAACTGCAAAGATTGGATGGAATTTCTTGCATCTTTGGTCTAATATGAAGCTTTATCAAAAGTTTCTTAAACATGCTAGTTTGTTACACCATAAACTGGTAATTTATTTAATCAGGTGCCCATAAAATGAGCTAATGCATTTTATTTAAGTTTTCATTTAATTAAATGTTGAGCTACTAAAGCAAAGCTTTTATCGTCTAGAAAAAGAGATGATGCATAAACTTTAAACCTTAATATTGCTACTCATTAGCTGTACAATAAAAGAAAAAAAATCTGGGACTAACAGTAGCAGTCTTGTTACACTAGCCTATGTAAATATTTTGTCTTAAAAACTCACTTGCTTTCTTGGCCATCCTGGGAATCCTCTTCCTGTTCCTTCTTTTGGCTCTTAGTTTTCTTTTTATCAGACTCTGAGTCAACTTCTTTGCCTTCTTCTTCAGCCGGTTTCTTCACTGCTGGTTTCTGCTCCTCAGATGGCTTGCTTTTGATATTTTTTTCTTCCTCCTCCTCTGTTTTCTTCTTCTTACTGGCTCTTTCTTCATCCTCCTCTGCCTTCTTCTTGGAATTTGCCTTTTCATCCTCCTTTTTCTTTTCCTTTGGTTTCATTTCCTCATTTTTCTTATTCTCCTTTTTCTTTTCTGAGTCACTGACTACAGGCTTTTCTTCTTTTACTTCCTTGTCTTCACTTTTTGGTGGCTTGCTTTCATCAGATTTCTTCACAATATTTACATCCTCCTTCTTCTCTTTCTCCTTCTCCTTTTCCTTCTCTTTGTTTGGTTCTTCCTGTTTTGGGCATTTTTCCTCCTTTTTCTTCTTGTCTTTTTCTCTCAGTAACTCATCAAACTTGTCCTGCTTCAGTTCTTTCTTCTTGATATCTTTGCCATCTGCTTCTTTGTCAGGTTTCTCATCTGCCTTCTTTACATCCCCTTTGTCCTCAAGAGAGATGTCTCCCTTCACATCCTGTCAAAAATTAATTTCATTATTCCTCTAAACTACTTATCATTCATCACAAATTGATGGCTATATGAAATACATTTTTCCTTAATAAATAATAAGAAAATATCCCAATAAGAAGGTGAAAATGAAATAATCATTTCTATCATTGCTTTCTCTCTTTTTTTTGTGTGAACATGGTATACTTTTGTGGGTGTTCCTGGGATGGGGACATTGTCTTTTTCCGCAGCTGCAGTGGGGAGGCCAGCAAGCTTTGGCGAAGACGGGGTTTTACTCTTTTCACACTCAGAGTTGGGGTCAATTTTACTGGCAGCCAGTGGTGGACTAGGGGTGGTTGTGGGAACAATGGCAGAAGAGACTGGGGATGCAACCTGGTCCAAAGTTGGAGAGGTGGGGACACTGACTTTTGCAGGTTCACTGCACTTGGGAGTGGTGGTGGTGGTGGTAGTAGTGGTGGTGGTGGTTGTGGTGATGGTGGTGCTTTGGGGTGACAAAACAGTGTTATTAGTTTTCTTGCGGCCACGATGACCTGGGCGCTTTGCAGGATGTTCCAACTCCTTGCTTGAAGAAACTTCTTGCTCCGAATCCTGCTGGACCTGCTTCTCTTTTTCTTCTTGTTCATGATGCTGTTAGGGTACCAATGCGCATTACAAAATCACAGGAATATTGATAAAGCAATTTGTGTTTGCTGCCTTTACAGATTTAGCAATGCTAATTGCATAATTATCAAGAGTAAAAATATCTATGAAAATATATACAGAAAATATAAATAACATAACTAACAATAATGAAGAAAAGACAAAAATGGAGGTAAACCATTAAAGCAATTATGATAAAAACAACACAAAAGCTTTCATAAATTTACACCAAACTCATTACAATCATATTATCTCCTTCTGTCTCTTACATTCAGTGACTATGTCAACATTTCTACACAAGACAGTCTACTATGTAAACTACAAAACAAAACAAAATAAAAAGTTTTCACAACCACAACTCTTTCTTCCCAGAAAAAAGGTATTATTCTTTACACATGTTTCCCCTTTCACTGTCCACTACCTCATGCTTGTAAATTTTAGTCTATCAATGACCTGAGGTAAAGTTAAACATGAATGAAGAAAGCAAAACATACATATAAGAAAATGATTCAACAGATACTAGTGAAATTAGTGCTAAGTATACTTCTAAATACACACCTCTGCCTTAAAATGTACTTATTTCTAAGGGAAAGAGAGAGAAAGAGAAAGACAGAAGACAGAAAAAAAAGAGATAGTGGAGTGAGTAGGGTAAGGTAAGGTAAGGTAGGGTAGGGTAGGGTAGGGTAGGTTAAAGCAAGTTAGGGCAGGGTATGATTGGGAAGGGATGGGTAGCATAAGGTAGAGTGAAGTAGGGTAAGATAAGGCAAGACACTGCAGGGTAGGATAGGGAAGGAAAAGGAAAGCTGGGGTAGAGTGAGATAGGGTAAGGTAGGACAAGGAATTGTAGGGTAAGGTAGGGCAGAGTAGGGTAAAATGGGGAAGAGAAGGAAAGGGAAGGAAAGGAAAGGGTAGGGAAGGGCAGGGAAGGGAAGGGTAGGGTAGGGTAGGTTAGGTTAGGGTAGGGTAGGGTAGGGAAAGGAAGGGATGGGAAGGGAAGGGAAGGGAAGGGAAGGGAAGGGAAGGGAAGGGTTGGGTAGGATAGGATAGGTAGGGTAGGGTAGAATAGAGGGTAGGGTAGGGTAGGGTAGAGTGAGGCAGGTTAGGGTAGGGTAAGGTATGATAGGGTAAGGTGGGCTAGGGTAAGGTAAGATAAGGTAGAGTAGGGTAGGGAAGGAAGGAAGGGAAAGAGGGAAATACAAAAGAGATTAGGAAAAGATTAGGAAAAGAAAAGGGAAAACCCACATTTACTGCACTCCTGTCTTTTCTAGAAAATGTTAAATTAGACACAAAAATTTATTTCATCAACAAGTGGTATCAAATCCATTTTATTTCACGTAGACATCATACACCGATATTATTATAATTATAATAATAATAATA